CGAATGTCTCCTGATGGAATGCCTTCTCTCTTCCTGCTCCTTCCCTCAATAAATTGATTTCTAAAAACCAAATCCTACTCATCTGTCAAGGCCCAACTTAAATTCCATTTCATTTACAGAACCATCTCTGATATAAGTTCTCTGAACTCTATGTCACTAATCGCTTTCTGAATTAATGGTAGCTTTTAGGGGATAGGCTTTCTAACCTATTGTAGAATACAGTTGGTCCTTCATATCCATGGGTTCCACATCTACAAATTTAACCAACTGTAAGTTGAAAATATTAGGAAAAATGTTATATTATTGCTGACATGTACTATATAGACAGGCCTGTGATAATTGTGTTTCTACTGACATGTAGAGACTTTTTTGTCATTATTGTCTAAATAATATAGTATATCAACTACTTATATAGCATTTACCTTATATCTGTTTTATAAGTAATCTAGAGATGATCTGAAGTCTATGGTAGGATATTTGTTGGTTATATGCAAATACTATGGCATTTTATATAAATGACTTCAGTAACCGTGGGTTTTGGTACCCATGAGGGGGTCCTGTAACCAATCCCTCATGGATACCAAGGAACAAGTGTATCCTCTACTAAAGGCACGAGACAATTTTGCTTTTTCCACAATGTAGAATATCCCGCATTGCACGCAGCAGATGGTTCAATTATACTTTATAACAACCATTTACATTGTATTAGGTATTATAAGTAATCTAGAGATGATTTTAAATGTATGGGGGGATGTGCTTAGGTTATATGCAAATACTATGCCATTTTATATAAATGACTTGAGCAACCATGGATTTTGGTACCATGAGGGGGTCCTGTAACCAATCCCTCACGGATACCAAGGAACAAGTATATCCTCTACTAAAGGCACAAGACAATTTTGCTTTTTCCACAATGTAGAATATCCCGCATTGCACGCAGCAGATGGTTCACAAAAATTTAAATTCAAAGAATAGCAGGAATTTACACTGTTTCATTGGAAATATTTCATTTATTCTTCCCAATTTTGATTTTGTTCCCAAATCAAGGAAGCTGAAAGCTTGGCTGATGCAGAGGAAAGATGTGACCAGTATTATTATGGAATACAAGCACAAAACTGAATTCACCAAAATATAGCATGTAATGCAAAGTATTTTTACTTCCTAAGGTGAAAAACCTCACAGAAGAGATGGCAGGCCTGGACGAAACCATAGCTAAGCTGACCAAGGAGAAGAAGGCCCTCCAAGAGGCCCACCAGCAGACGCTGGATGACCTGCAGGCAGAAGAGGACAAAGTCAACACCCTGACCAAATCTAAAATCAAGCTAGAGCAGCAAGTGGATGATGTAAGTCTAGGATTACCAAGAAAATAATTTATTTTTTTAAAGAAAGGCTAAGCAAACCTTTTGACTCAACATTATTTATGTTTAGCTTGAAGGGTCCTTAGAGCAAGAAAAGAAACTTCGCATGGACCTAGAAAGGGCTAAGAGGAAACTTGAAGGTGACCTCAAGTTGGCCCAAGAGTCCATAATGGACATTGAAAATGAAAAACAACAACTTGATGAAAAGCTAAAAAAGTAAGTATAAAACAATTACTCATGAACTTGCTTCCAATAGTGTATATGGACTCAATTGTTATCTTTTGCTACTTTTCAAAAAGGAAAGAGTTTGAAATGAGCAATCTGCAAAGCAAGATTGAAGATGAACAGGCCCTCGGGATGCAGCTGCAGAAGAAGATCAAGGAGTTACAGGTAAGTACCTGGTTTCCACCAGTGAAATCCACATGAGAAAATTACTGACACCAGCTAAGTTTGTGTTTTTCATCACTCCCAGGCCCGCATTGAGGAGCTGGAGGAGGAAATCGAGGCAGAGCGGGCCTCTCGGGCCAAAGCAGAGAAGCAGCGCTCGGACCTCTCCCGGGAACTGGAGGAGATCAGCGAGCGGCTGGAGGAAGCTGGTGGGGCAACTTCAGCCCAGATTGAGATGAACAAGAAGCGGGAGGCTGAGTTCCAGAAAATGCGCAGGGACCTGGAGGAGGCCACCCTGCAGCACGAAGCCACGGCGGCTGCTCTGAGGAAGAAGCACGCAGACAGTGTGGCTGAACTTGGGGAGCAGATAGACAACCTGCAGAGGGTCAAGCAGAAGCTGGAGAAGGAGAAGAGCGAGATGAAGATGGAGATTGATGACCTCGCTAGTAACGTAGAAATAGTCTCTAAAGCCAAGGTACTACAGAGTCTGAAAAATTGGTTGTTAACAACAATAATCCTTTATGTACACATCATAAAGCAGCGGTTCTCAACCTGTGGGTCGTGACCCCTTTGGGGATCAAATAACCCTTTCACAGGGGTCGCCTAAATACATCCTGCATATCAGATATTTACATTATGATTCATAACAGTAGCAAAATTACAGTTATGAAGTAGCAACGAAAATAATTTTATGGATGGGGGTCACCACAACATGAGGAACTGTATTAAAGGGTCGCGGCATTAGGAAGGTTGAGAACCACTGCCATAAAGGCACAGGGTACTTTACACACATTATGACAGTTGTTCTATGCAGTAATCTAGGATTTTTGTAAGAGGGACATTAGTATTTGTATCATTTCTACTGAACATCTGAAGAAACTGAAATCAAAGAAGTTAAGTACATTGGCCCCATCACACCAATAATGAATAAAAGCATCAACTTTGAGCATAGACCATCTGTGTTCTCTAGGTCTCCAATTGAAGAACACGGGTCTCCAATACTCTCAATTATCCAATAAGCAACATAAAGGCAGTGAAATATTGAACATGCTTTTAGAAAATATACCAAAAATTCTTACAAAATCTTAAATTTATACCATAATCATGAAATTTTTTATAATATTGAACAGAGCTTCACAATTAGCTTTTTAAAAATCCCAATGTATATTTTCAACTTAAGACAGCATAAAATATACTGTCTATATCATATTACATAAAGGAGAGTTTGACTTATTTCATATGTAAAAATATATATTTTTCAGAAGAAATTGTAGCTGCAGCTAAATTATGTTAAAATGTCTTCATTTCTTCCTTTGTGCTTTTCTCACACAGGGAAACCTAGAGAAAATGTGCCGCACGCTAGAGGACCAAGTGAGTGAACTGAAATCAAAGGAAGAAGAGCATCAGCGGCTGATCAATGACCTGACCGCCCAGAGGGGCCGCTTGCAGACTGAATCTGGTAATTCCCTTCTCTTCTATGCCGCCTAACAGTGGAGGTGATGTGGTTAAAAACAACTGATTTGGTGATGTGAAAACCTAATAAAAGCAACTGAGAGCGGGTGATTCACTGAACAGCTCAGACTCTCAAACTTGCAAGGTCGCTTGGGGTCAACGTTGGAGATAGAGGCTTCAAAGGACTGCATTAAGTTCTGCTCCAGAGAGGCCTTGAGTATTTGGCCACATTGAGGGAGTGTGGGGTTAGGAAACACTCCAATGTGGGTCCAGAGCTTCTATTTTAGACCAAGCTTCTTTTTATCTATATCGAGTAGGACAATGGATAACCCAGTCTCTAACAGGTCTTATAAAATGGGACCAGGTACAATTTGGTACGTTAGTGCCCTTCTCTGAAAGTTATCACCAGATTTTACACAGGAGCATATAACCCTGAAAGACTAAATTATGGAGAAAACAAACATATTTAAGGTGTATTTATTCATTCAGATTAATATGTTTCACCATAAACATCAGAAAATTAACATTACACAGGTTAATCATTTGCGCACTCAATAGGGGGGAGGAGTTAAAATTTATTTCTAATATATACTTGCAAAATTTTTCTTCACTTAAAAAAATGGTGCTATTTCTTTTGCCTCTCAGGTGAATTTTCACGGCAGCTAGATGAAAAAGAAGCGATGGTGTCTCAGTTATCAAGGGGCAAACAAGCATATACTCAACAAATTGAGGAATTAAAGAGGCAACTTGAAGAGGAGATAAAAGTAACTATTATTATAAGACTCATTTTTTCCCTCCATGATCTGACTCTAATTGGAGTCCATTACATCAACTTTTAAAAGATTCTGAAACTTAATAAACATTTAAACATCCAGTAAAATGAAGATGTAACTATTTCCACAGGCCAAGAACGCCCTGGCCCACGCCCTGCAGTCCTCCCGCCATGACTGTGACCTGCTGCGGGAACAGTATGAGGAGGAGCAGGAATCCAAGGCCGAGCTGCAGAGGGCGCTGTCCAAGGCCAACAGCGAGGTTGCCCAGTGGAGGACCAAGTACGAGACGGACGCCATCCAGCGCACGGAGGAGCTGGAGGAGGCCAAGTATGTGCACTGATATGAGAAAATGTACAAAATACTTTGCATATTAAATCAGAAAGCTACAGTCTTTGAAGAATCCATGAATTAGCCCACAAATGGTCGTTAATTAGCTGCTATTTGCCAGGCATTCTGTGAAGAATGAGTAAGACAAACATGATCTCTGCCCTCTTCGTCTAAAATCTGGTTAAGGAAATAAAGAACGACAGATAATTAGAACTTACTGCTGTTGGTCAAGCACACAAGCTCATTGCTGCTTCAGGGCATTGCACTTGCTGGTACCCTCTGTCTGGAATACTCTACCCCAACCTCCCTCCAGCTCACACTCTGACTTCTTTTAGATTTTGACTCAAGTGTTACCTCCTCTAAGGAGCCTTCCCTGATTACCTAGAATAGTTGCTCACCACTTCCTCTTTTTTTCCCTTTCATTGCACTTATATCAGCATATGCTACTCTGCATTTTCTCACTTGCTTATTGCTTCTCTCTCACTTGTTTGGAAGCTTCATGAGACAAGGACCTTTTTCTGTCCTGTTCACTGCCGTGTACCCAGTGTCTGGCTCATAAAGGGAGCTCATCGATATCTGTCCAATGAATGAATGGCTATTTTTAATATGAAGATTTTTAATATAAAGTTTCCAATTTCTTTCAGTGTGGTAATAGTTCACAATTCTTGTTTTGGTTCACTTCTCTCTACAAATATGTGTAATCCTCAAGGAAGAAGCTGGCCCAGCGTCTGCAGGACGCCGAGGAACACGTAGAAGCTGTGAATGCCAAGTGTGCCTCCCTTGAGAAGACCAAGCAGCGGCTCCAGAATGAGGTGGAGGACCTCATGCTTGATGTGGAGAGAACTAACGCCGCCTGCGCAGCCCTGGACAAGAAGCAGAGGAACTTTGACAAGGTAATTTCTGCAGCCGCCTTTGCTCTCCACTATTTCCCTCCGTCCTTTACAGCACGTAACCACTCTCGGTTTTTCAGATCCTGGCAGAATGGAAACAGAAGTATGAGGAAACCCATGCTGAACTCGAGGCCTCCCAGAAGGAGGCCCGCTCTCTGGGCACTGAGCTGTTCAAGATGAAGAACGCTTATGAGGAATCCCTGGATCAGCTAGAAACGCTGAAACGGGAGAACAAAAACTTGCAGCGTGAGTTCCTTTCACTCTCAGGGATAGTCATGCCTTGAAGGAAGCTTTCTCTTACGTCCTCTGTCTGACCAAATCTCTACCTGTCTCTTACCCAAACAACAGAGGAGATTTCTGACCTCACGGAGCAGATTGCAGAAGGAGGGAAACGTATCCATGAACTTGAAAAATTAAAGAAGCAAATTGAACAAGAAAAGTCTGAACTACAGGCTGCTTTAGAGGAAGCAGAGGTACAGGTCAAAGTGTGCATTACAAATAAATTCAGAAAAGAATTAGGCCCATCCACTACAGATTGAATAGAAAGATAAAAAGCACAAAATTTGTGAAAGAAAAGGTGTGCAAAACACTTCCAAATGTTTCCATTCCCCGCTAATGTCACCCTTGCTGTCATTCAGGCATCTCTTGAACATGAAGAGGGAAAGATCCTGCGCATCCAGCTGGAGCTGAACCAAGTCAAGTCTGAAATTGACAGGAAAATTGCTGAAAAGGATGAGGAGATTGACCAGATGAAGAGAAACCACATTAGAGTGGTGGAGTCCATGCAGAGCTCGCTGGATGCTGAG